TCCCAGCGATCGAGTCTTCTTCTTCTTCTTCTTCTTCTTCTTCTTCTAAACTGTCATTCATTAACTTAACCAGTCCTGAGAGAAGGAGAAAGGGGGAGGAGAGTAGAGGCGCATGCTAGGGACGCAATGGGAGATGCCTTCACGATCAGTAGGGATTGCACAAACGTTGAACAAAGGCTAGTTGAGTCGTTGGGTTTAAGTATATAGGCAAGCGGCAACTGTCTCTCTGCGCCATAAAACAGTTATCATTATGGTCCTTCAAAATAACTGCAACTGTGTGAAGTGTTGAAATTGTGCGGCGTTCGCGGTTGCTATGGGCAAGCCACGTGTAGTGCACAGTTTACAACGACTGCGGAGGAGGGTCACTAGTGCCTAGCGTAAACAGCCGCGAACGGAAAATTGGTTAGAGGGAGGAGGGTTGGAAATGTGTGTTATGACTCTGGCACCGGTATAGTGCTCCTCGAACACAGAGGGCAAAATGAGCTTAGGTCCGATAAAACAGAGATGCAAACGACCGCGTTTAAAGAATACTGCCGGGTGGTAACGCTGGTTCTCACTGCAGCTGGGTATATTGTAGGCGTGGTTGTGGCTGCGGACAGGGACCAAAACGTGTGTGTGTGTATGGCTTTACACCATGACAGCAATTGCGCACTGGTCGTGTTGATTTTGTCTCGCCAAAGTAGGGCGGAGGTGGGTATAGACAGTAAAGGAGATGCCGTGCTGGATGTCTGCTTCGCTATAAATGAGGTCAGCGGAGGTTTGCACGCGTTGACTGTTGTCCAACGAATCGAGAATTACGAATAAGTCGTTTGCCTACACAAAATCATATATTCCTATATGCTATTAAACGGATACTATATAGCGTTTATAAAAATGCACAACTGATATGGACTACGTTGCACAACTCGCTAGGACCATCATTAAACGGACGGATACAATGCTGTTTGAGTGGATATCGTATGGCCTCAAAGACATCTCATTATTATATAAAATTATTATTTTGTTTAAACCGAAAGGTAATTGTTCTTCGAATGATTGGCTGTCAAATGAGTACAAGAAAGGACACTTTTGTGCGTACTTTTGATAAAAAATTGGTTAAATTTATACTGACATCGAAAATAAATAAAAGAAGCCATAATATTTAAGTAGACACTTCTTCTGCCGAGTGCTAATTTTGCAGGAGGCCGAATCTAAGAGTATGTAACGACGCCTGTCTGGAATTTCTGGGGTTTATCCCGCACGATAATCGATATTATAATCCTATTGCCTTTTCTAGGTAAGAGCGATTTCAGAAATTGCAATAATATCTTATGAAATCGGTCATTCGCTGTACTTAGAAACCAACCCATAGCACCAGTCTCTCTAGTCGCGGGCTATCTGAAATCAATTGAACAGTCCTTATCAGAGCTACCAAAGTAACTGCAAAGATAGAAAAAAAGACGAGTACTTAAGGCCTCAATTATTTAAACTACAGAGGCAAGTGGTACGTGGCGTAGGGTGTGAAAACGCGTGAAAAGGGAGGTCGGCTAAAAACACTGACGGTACACAGTTCTCGGGTAGACAGTGATTCCACTAGACTTAATTTAAAATCAACCATATACAAAGAGAGAGGAAGTAAGACACGACAGAGTGAACTGTAAACAACTCCATCGAAAACCTATAACCTGGGCAGAAGAAATGTGAACGAGGTGCAAAAATTAAATCAGCCGAAATCATGAAAGGGTGGCACTTAACTTTCTCTGCAGAGGAGAAGAACGGGGCTAACGAGCTAACTTCTCACCTGGAAGCAGGTATACTTGAAGAGGTTGCCGGCAGTCAGTCTGGGCACCTCGGCCAGAGTGGCCACGTCGACGTAGGAGTTGGGAAAGAGGAAGAGGTCAACGCTGCATCCGGCCTCAACGCACTGCTTTCCGAGAGTAGTATAGAAATCCGTGGCTGGTTGCAGTAGGGTCTGTAAGACAGTACGCAAGAGGGAGTAAGAAGAAGAATAATAACAATTCGGAAACAAAATGCATCAAGCGTACGATGCTGCTAGCAAGATGGTCCATTCGTGAAAAATAAAGGAGGCATAGGACGTGTACGTCTACGGTGCTGGTTCTGGTGTTCCGAACTCCTACGAGGGTCATCGCTTTAAAAGCAGCATTTTGGGATGATAAAAATGAGTTAAAGCAACGGCCCAAAAGTGATACTCTCGCTACCATTCTTATTGTAAGTATTTGGAGCTTACCACTGCACCATGGGCCTAAAGATGCAGTCTGCCTCGTGGCCTACCGCACAGCAGAACATTAGAAGGCGGATGAAGTCCGTGGCGTATAAAAATGAATTACATTACACAGAGGAGTGACTTTCTGTCGTCCTGTTTCAGCAATGATGGATAAACGGGTGGCGGATTGGTAGTTCGTTTCCATATTACGTTTCTTACAGTTGATCGTCATCCGACTGCTGGGCCAAAACAATGCTCTGTCCCAGTGATGAGTGAGCGACAGCTCATACTTGCGTCAGGCATCAAGGTCTTGTTTACGTGCCCTCCTATGGAGCCATCTACTAGTTTTACTGGTTTGATCAGCCTGAATAATATCCAATCCCGCAGATGAAGTCAGAACTGAGGCGAATGTTCGCATCCCAGGAACGTGAATATTTTGAGAAGAAGAGGAA